ACGAAAACATCCCTGTGTTATCAACACTGTTGCCAGCACAAATCCAAAACATGGCCTCATACTAGCTACTATGGAGAAAATTTGCTCTATCCCAGCCAAAACCAGCACAGCCTCTCAAAGGAGCAAAGTCACATCTATAAAACACAGATCAAAACGAAATGAAGGCACAGCTATCTTTCTTTTTCATTTTTATTTTTCTTTTTCTTCTGTAGCTAATCATGTTGGTGATAAGAAGCCAATGTGTATTTATGTAACACCAACCTTTGCAACAGCTCAGATTGAAAATAGGTAATAAACTACCATTTCTTATATCATTCACTATCGTCATTCTATCACCTGTAACTATGAGAGATCGGTGCATAGAGATGAAGTGGAGGCTGAGGTGGGCAAAATCCTTCACTATTAGCGTAATTTTCCCCTGGATATCTTCCCTAGTGATCCTAGCATACTTCTCAACCCCAAGGGCTCTAGTTCTGCAGCTGTTTACACTGTCTGTAGCAGTTACAATTCCTTCAGATTTTTTTTTTCTTGAATTGTAACAAGAGGGGGGAAAAATACACTCTCCCAGTTTTTTACACTGTAATGAAATCTTCTGATTCTGTTCTGTTTTCTTGTGCCAACTATGCTGCTGTGAACACCACAGCAAAGCTGTAGAGTCCGTCACTCCAGAGATTTCCCAGGGTAGCTGACGGTAGCTGTAATTCTCTTTCAGAAAGGAATAATTCAAATTCCAGCTGAAGCCCCTGAAAGTTCAGACATCATTTTGCATATTTGAGGCTCAAACTACTGAAAATTCTACAAAAATATTTCAAATAATGTGGTATTTTTTTCCTGTGGTCTTCAGAAGACCAGAAGGAGCTTAGATCTGGATAAGACAACTATCTTGATTGTCACAATTCTGGGAAATCAACAATACATTTAACAACCTCTCCTCAGTAAAGAAAGTGCCAAGAAGTATCTATGTGCAGAAATAAAGTGTTTTGCAAATACAATGAGAGTTTAAGTCTCAGGTATGGAAAATTTAGTCTCATGAGATAATGCAGTTAAATCAACATCCTTTATTGCTTTCCCTTTTATGAGTTAGAGGTGTAAAGTCCAGAAGGGCTCAGGTTACTTTTCTATATTCCTACCTTATATTTAACATGTTTTATACAAGGGGAGGATTGGCTGTGGCCTTTCCTTGGATTTTTATGTTGCCACCAGTGGTGGTAGGACTGATTTCATCTGCACAAGCTCTCTTGGGACATTTGGGAGGTTTCGGACTCCGAAGACATTCAGGTTTTATAGTCTTGCAGGTAAAACAGACATTCCTGTTCTTTGCCGTAGTATTTTTCTCTGGAACTCTGAAGATGTTTCAGTCTTTGTGGATGATTAACTAATGGTAGCAAAGTACTGCTCTTGTAAGAATTCAGCATTAATGATGCACTGCTTGCTATATGACGAAAAGAATATTATCTGGGTAAAGACAGAATGTAAGCCTGAAGAACTAGAGATTTCTGAAAGTTATAAACAACACCTTCAAGAGACTTTTATCTCAAGAACATCCTCTTGTTTACTCTGCAGCTTGGTAACTTTCCTTCTCTTTCTGCTTGCACTGATAAATGTTTAGGAAGAGGCTTAACAGTCTTTGCACAAGGCTGAAAGCTGGGAAAAACTTGAGTTCTAATAGCTCTACCAATGAGGAAATAATATCCCCTCTCTGCTTTAGTTTTTCCACCAGTTAAAAGCGAAATAATGCTTATTCTTCTGCTAGGATGTGACAATTATATTTACTGTGGTAAAATGCTTTGAAAAGGAAAAATTAGATGTAATTATAATAATTTAAACTATGGTGGCATCGTGTAGATTGTGTAACATTTTGCTAGCAATAAAGCAAGGTTACTACCCTAGGGAATTTACAGCACAGAGGATCAGCTCCTATTTCAAGATTTTGTTCAGTAAAAGCAGCTGGGCATTTACATTACCTGAACAAATGAGCAGAAAACAAAACATGACCCATGGAATCATAATTCTTTTTCTGTTCTTTTTCTTCTGAAGGAAAAGTTAATTGTTTTATACTTTTTCCTTATTTCGGGATGGTATTTCCCCTGGATTATACTTCTAGCACATATGAAGAGGGCAGGTAAAGCCAGAGATTCTCCCAGTGCCTGTTTTTTTTTGCTGGCGGCGGACAGTAGAACAGGAGTAGTGCCCAGTACCCTTCCTGGGGCTGGAACCACAGTGTTAGCAGACCCAAACAGAATGAAAGATGCCTTTATTTCTCCAAGGAGTTAAATAAAACTGGGGACAAGTTTTGTCCTTTAGACCCACATGTTAGGTCTTACTTAAAATAACCAAATTGAAGTTTCCTGATCTTTTTTCCTTGTTATTAGTGTTGACTGAGCCTCAAAAGTTATTTGGTGCAAAAACACTGAGATTTAAATACTTTTCTAAACTTTTGTTTAAGCCTTCTAGGTCTGCTGCTAAACATAGCAGACACTGTGGGATTTCTGAAGAAAGGTGGTAATGAAATGTAATTTGTATATCCATTGTTATCTCATATTTGTTTAATTAATTCTTTTCCCTTCCTACTGGGTAATCTAGAAATTGCCAGTAGAAGTCACAGGATGAACTTACGAAAATGAAAATACAAGCCACACTAAACTCTGCCCTCATTTTTGCAAACTGGGAGTCCCACAACCTCCCTGGGTGTGAAACCAGTGTTCAGAGGGAGAACGTGGTACCAGAAGACAGGAGGACTGCCTGTGAGTTGTCCAACAATGCATAAAGTCCAGCAAAGCAAATCTGCCCGAGAGGTTATAAGCCAGGTACACCAAACTTCTGCTGTAGAAGAGGATGATTGTTTCCTTCCTTTCTCTGTACAAAATACTGAATGGATTATCTGCTAAATGATTCACATTACATGCTGTGATGGTTAATTACTTCCAAAAGTATTTTAATCGCAGAATCTGTCATTTGTAACTTGAAAGTTACAAGCATCAGTAAGCCCTGTAATGGATTTTTAACTATTTTTCATTTCTTAGATGGTGTTCGTGCCTTCAATCTGATGGATTTAAATATGGAAGAGGAATTCTAAAGGTACTGGGAATACGCTGGGAATAAAAGCTTGGGAAGAAAAGCCACAAGGGGACTCTGTGCTGTTGTCCATCTGCAAGTGGTCGGAACAAATTTCGGAAAAAATGGAAAAAAAGACAACAAGCAATGAGACTGAGCCGCTGACTTCCAAGAAAGATGTCTCAGACTGTAATGAAGGAGAAGATTGTAAAGAGAACGGACTTCTGGTCAGGAACCCTAAATCTGCCCTACGGCTAGTGGAGGATAGCAATAAAGTCCATCCCAGCCAGGGAGATAAAGGGGAGGCAGCTCAGATCTCAAATGGTTATTCAGGGGTTCAGAGCTCTGTTCCCTGCAATGGAATGGGAGAGGTGGAAGATGCCCAGTGCACTGCCCCAGCAGCTACAACCACCACTACAACCACCACTTCTACCACCTGCGGAGCAGAAGGACAGCAGCAGCTGATGGAGCTAGAAGACAGAGAGACCTGGAGTAAAAAAATTGACTTTCTACTCTCTGTCATTGGATATGCAGTGGATCTGGGAAATGTGTGGAGATTTCCTTATATATGCTATCAAAACGGAGGAGGTCAGTGACTAGTTCTGTATGCTGTTTCTTAACGTTGAACTTCCTTGCTTATAAATGCATGATTTAGTGGCTTATTTTAATATCATATATAACAAATAACCAAGGGGAAATTACTTACTTTTCAAGCAGACTGGAAAACCTAAATACTGGGCTAGGATAACTAGACACATTAAGATGGAAGAAAAACTATTTAGCAAGATCTAAAAAATCAGTACAACTAGAAGCTGAGAGCCAGTTACATGCAGAACCACCTTCCAGGAGAAAAGACTCAATCCCTGTCCCAAGGAGTATTTTAAAATCAGATAAGCCAACGTGTCAAAACCAACTCATCAGGAATGCTAGGTCTTAGGCTCACTGACATTTCAGCCAAAATATAAATCTACTCAAGGAGATCTTGGAAAGGACTTTTGTCTCTCTGATGTAACAAAGGCATTTTACTGAAGAAACTAATTATTTTATCTGTAGCCCATCTCACAATTGTATCCATTGTAGCCAGTAGAGTCTTGGTGAATCCTATGTATACTTGTTACAGAAATGTGAGAAGTTTGGCCTGAGTGCTGCTTCTAATTCACACTGCTAAGTAGTTACTCTTATGAGAAATCCCATGATAATTCAGCATGGCACGCTGGCTAGGGAGGGGATATGCATTTTCCCTGTGGGATAAAAGTAACTGTTGTTTATGGAGTGCTGGTACTGTTGGAAGAGAAGACCGATGAAGACTTACAATCATCTGCTTTCTTTCTTGCAGGAGCATTCCTCATTCCTTACACAATTATGGCCATCTTTGGAGGGATTCCTCTCTTCTATATGGAACTAGCACTAGGACAGTACCACAGGAATGGGTGTATTTCAATTTGGAGAAAAATATGTCCTATATTCAAAGGTAAAGAAGGGAAATGGAAAATTCCTAGGAACTTTCTGAATAACTGGAAGATTTTCCTATAAAGGTGAAATATCTGAAAAAAATATGAAAATCTCATAAAGTAAGGCTTGTTCTACACAATATTTTGGCTTTACAAAGCCAAAAAACTTTATGTACCTCTGCAGATGTGTGTGTGTACTCTCATATGGATGTATGATGTGCAACTCTCAAATTGATTAGATAGAGACCAGTCTACTTTCTCTGACCAAAGCCTGGGGGGGGTGGGGGGGAAGGTAATTAATAAAGTAAGTGCAACATTACTGACTCCAAGGCAAAATTAAAACCAGGAAAGAATAAAGATCTACAATTTCTATTACAAAGATATTACAAAGAAATGATTCCCCATCTTCAGCCTGCTCTGTCAATTGTTATCCTACCACAGAGTCTTCTAGAGTAAAAGGACCTGTTCTACAATCTCGTTTACTCTTGCTCCCAGCGTTATAGCCCTGGTCTTGTCTTTTTTATTTACTGAGTGTGCAAGATGCCTATTTCTAAATTCCAGGAATCTAGGAACAGATGAAAAAAACTATATAAGCATCTTCTGTCTTGATTAAGGATGCTTTTTTGAAATCGGAGCCCGAGTGTTTCCAAAGCCACACGAAATTCCAGTGTTGTAAACACTTGAGAGGGTATGTGTACCTCCTGCAGAGCTGCCTTAGACAGTTACTAATTGTAGCTGATGTGATAACCAATTCCTTCCTCTTTTTTTTTTGGCCTAAAACTTACACTCACTTCATGTAATTATTTCCTGCCTTACTAGGAATTGGCTTTGCCATCTGTATAATAGATCTTTACGTAGCCTCCTACTACAACACCATTATGGCTTGGGCCTTTTACTACCTCGTATCCTCCTTCACGGCGGAGCTGCCATGGACTAGCTGCACAAATGCTTGGAACACAGGCAACTGCACTAACTACTTCAGCAAGGACAATGTCAGCTGGTCCCTGCACTCCATCTCTCCCGCAGAAGAATTTTATACGTAAGTGCATGTAAGTGAGGACAGTAATATTAGAGAGAATGATGGAACACATAGCAAGCTTTTCTTTGGAGGGGAAGCAGGGCTGTTTATTAATGGTACCCTTTTCTGAACTATTCAAATAACTAAATACTTGTATACGATACAAGCTTAGGGTGTATGGGAGGATACTCTATATTTTAGATCAGAGGTTCCCAGCCATTGTCAGCTGTCATCACTTATCATGACTGGTTATACTGCATTAAAATCAAGCTTTTAATTTAAAAAAAAAAAACAAAAAAACAACAAAATAACATGACTCTGAAGGCTACTTATCAAAGACTCAGGACTACTTGTAGGGCTCAGACCACAGTATGGGACTTAAAGCATATGTAACATAAGCATTTGTTAAAAAAATATCTATACTGTGTTTTTCTTTCTTCTTTCAGCCGCCACGTTCTACAGGTGCACAGGTCCAATGGGCTGGATGACCTGGGGGGCATTAGCTGGCAATTGACCCTCTGTTTATTGTTAATCTTCACCATTGTATACTTCAGCATCTGGAAAGGGGTCAAAACATCTGGCAAGGTGAATGCAAAAGCAAGTCAAATCAACTTGGTACAGTATAGTCTAGCAGCATTTCTAAACAAGCCAATTAACTTGACAGAGAATTATCTCAAATTGTCTTCATGACGGGGATTATAGGCTCATATATTTTGGAAGCAAGTAAGATATAACAACAGTAAGTTACGCCACTGTTCTCTGGACAAGAACAACCCTGCCAAGAGAAACCATAGGTATAGATGTGCAAACTGCCTGTTTACAAACCTTCTGAGAAGTTCACATGAAGATGTTACAAATGCTAAGAGGTATAATAAGAATAACTCATTATCACTTGTTAACTTTCTACCCATGGCAAATGCGATCTTACTGTTTTCCCTCACAGGTGGTATGGGTGACTGCCACATTCCCTTACATCATACTCTTTATCCTGCTAGTGAGAGGTGCAACTTTGCCTGGGGCTTGGAGAGGTGTCCTCTACTACTTGAAACCTGACTGGCAGAAACTCCTGGCCACTGAGGTAAAAAAACATTATAAAAGGGTAGAGATTTGCTTTTAGCCTATCAGCATGTGTATCAGCATGTATATACTTCAATGTCTATTTTTAGCACAGAGCATAATTAAACAGATGTCTTAGCATGGACTTAAAAGCCTAACTTCATGCTCTTGTTTAAACAGTCATGCTACTCTTTCCATAATTATAAAGATTTTTTAAAAGACTAGAGTCCACCATCAGTTTAGCTTGAACTAATAGTAGAGTTCCCATACAGTGGTTGAATAGAATTAGTGACATGATGAGAAAGAAAACAAGTGACCAAACAATTTTTCACCAGGAAAATGGTGAAGAGCCTGATATTGAGCGAGAAGCTATGATTGCTGCTACACTGCAACAAAATCCTTTATCTATGACAGTCACACTGAGCAAACTCAATTTACTAAGCCCTAACAACTGGTCTAGCTGCAGGTTTTTTGGCTGAGGGGATCATTACACACTTGGGCAGGCTTCTCCACAGACCAACGGTGGCCATAGTTGCCCATATTTAGTGTAGGTTATTAGAGTTGAAACTTCAGATCTCCATCCTGTGACAAGCTTTGGCAGATAAGCCCAAGGAGACTCTCGGTAGCCACCAACTAAAACATGCATGCAAGTGCATGTGGAGAAGGAATAAATCAGTTAGGCCTGCATACACCACGAAGATTTGAAAAGAAAGGAGGAATGAGGACAAGACTGAGCTAACCAACAAACCCCAGGCATTCCAGTATCTGATTCAGCTTTGAACTCTGTGGATAACAAGTAGTCCATCAGGCTCAAGGCTACACTTACTTCACTGCCTGTGAAAGTGTCTAGTGAGGAAGGTGATGGAAAAACCCCAAAGCAATAAATACTACAAATACAAAGATTAAAAATTTTAATGTTTGCAAGTCTGCCGCTGCCCAGCTGATACGGAGAGTTTCGAATGAAGAGGAAATGAAAAGACACCAGTCTCTGATAAAGCAGCATCTCCAATAAGGGACCACATCTTCTGAAAAAGCAATAAAGGGCATTGACATTGTATTGGATGTGTCTGAACTGAGGACAGCAGATTGCAATCTGTGTGCTGGACGATGACAGAGCTCTGTCTGTGGATGATACAGGATGGCTTCACACGATGGAAGAGAATATTAGAAATGAGTTGTAATGAACTCCATGTTTCAATCAAAAGAGGATAAATGAATGAGGACTTTCACCTTCAGAAAGAGAACTGATATTGTACTTTAGGGACACTACTCATTAAGGCTGTGGCCATTTTTCAAGTACAACAGGCTTTTCATAACAAGATCATCACACTTGCATCTGTCATGGCTACAACAAAGCTGAATTGAGTCCTAAGGACTAGAACTGCATCCACGCTGTCGTGTATTTCCATCAAGTCTAGGAAAAATCTGAGCAGCAATCATCTACTGCTTAGCCTGGAGGACACACAGCCAAACACACGACTATTCCATAGCATAGAGTTTGGAGGAAGATGGGCTAAGCCCACTGCAAAATCATGGATAGAACGCTCTCTATACATAACAAAAGTTGTGTTAAACTGATTACAGGCAAATCACTGTGAATTAATCTAAGATGCTGTCAGAAGTGAAACTGCCAGTGAGTACTTACAATAGTGTAAAGAGATAAAATAAGCACAGCATAGGCACTAGAATTATAGCGGATATTTACAACTCTCACAGATCTACAATAAATATTCACATTTCAACATGTTCTCTTAATGTTTGTTAGACCAGGACTAGAATATAGGCAAACTAGTGAAACATCGTTTTGTAGGGCTCTGTGATATTCTGAATATGCCAAACTTATTCAATCTGTTTCATGTCATTTTTTCTTGATCTTCAATATTTTTCAGGTTTGGGTGGATGCAGCAGCTCAGATTTTTTTTTCCCTTGGTCCAGGTTTTGGGGTCCTATTGGCTTATGCCAGCTACAACAAATTCCATAACAATTGCTACCAGTGAGTTCTACCTGATTCTATATGTAAAATTGAGTTAAAAAAAGTAACTGTGGGTATTTACAAAAAAGAAACACAATGCTGGTGAAAGGCACTGAATTGTCAGACCTGTGTACATACAAATTAGACAGAAGCGTAACAGAACAAAAGTCCTTATTGAAAGAACCTGCAATCTAAATCATTTTTTCTCTGTTGTGCCTACCCTAGAGAGAGATAATCCCTACCAATTACAGCAAGGAGTCTAAAATGTAGAAACCTGCCACAACAAAATGGACTAAACCCCTGCCAAACAATCACATTATAATTATTTAATCTCAGCAGTCAGTTAGGAAATGACTTTAGAGTCTTGACTGAAAGGCGATTTATAGTTGTTTCTTTGTTACCTTAAAAAAATTCTATTTATAACCTATGAAATAAAATTCTCAATTCTTTACTATTCCTATAGTAATTCCTATTTTTTTAAAACACCAGTATACATCCAGCATTTAATCCAGTGTCAGACTAATGTTAGAACATCTGTTTGAAGTTGAAGAAGAAAAAGTAGTCTTGGGGTTTTTTTCTTTCTTTCTTTCAAATCTACTGCTTGTTCTTTTCATTGTATTGCCCTAGTTTTTGTAGGAGTCTATCCACATCAGTAATTTACTCTATCTGGTAGTAAACTATCCTTTCTAGCAGATGCCGATTCCCTGATATGAGTTAGGTCTTCTGTTGCAGAGATGCTCTGGTTACCAGTACCGTGAACTGTGTGACTAGTTTTGTGTCTGGATTCGTCATCTTCACTGTGCTGGGATACATGGCTGAGATGAGGCATGAGGATGTGTCAGAGGTTGCCAAAGATACTGGTAGGCTAACTTTTTGTACACATCTCTCAAACTACTTCTAAGATAGCATGTATTTGTACATTATTTTCTAGATTGAGAATAGCCCAAATTAGGCAAAATATTTAGTATTTAAGTCAGGATACTGCCTTACTTTATGATAAGGGCACTGTTATAAATATACAGTACAGCTAAAAAATTATTCCATAAAGGCAGCGTATAGAAGTTATATTTCATGCAGCTTCACAGACGTGGTGGTAACTGCACACTACAAAATAGCCTGGGGGCAGAAGTTTTCCCCTGGAAGACAACATGGTACAATGAAACAGCCTGTCCTCCTCACAGCAGTAGTGCGCTAACAATTATCCCAATTCTCTGTTCTAACATCAGGACCCAGCCTTCTCTTCATTACGTATGCTGAGGCCATTGCAAATATGCCTGCTTCCACTTTCTTTGCCATCATCTTTTTCCTGATGTTACTCACGCTGGGATTAGACAGCACGGTGAGTAGACAGTATGCAAGACAGCAGACCTCTCAGATATTTGGTGTATGGCCTTACCCCCACAGACATCAGAAGAAACAGAATTACAAATATTGCACTGTCACTAATGGGTTCAAAGCAGGCCTGACATCTCCATGTGCCTTCTGTAAGACAGCAACTATTACTCCAATTTGACCTAAATAGGCCTAAATAAAATTAAATTATTTGTCAGTGTCATACTGTGACAATTAGTAACAGACCTGGAAACACAACCAAAGCACTTGATACATAAACACCTGGTTGAATGTAGCCTTCCACGCTCCTTCTCTTCTGTACTTGTAAACTTTCAAAGCAATTATTAAATTCTGGAATTTTTTCACACTAAGTGGATTTAAAAGGTGGGAATTGGAGGTGGCCTTCTCAACAGCACTGCGAAAAGGATATGTTCTAAAAACTTGCCATGTGAGCCTGTTTTTAAGATTAAGAATCAGCTCCTTCCAGGAAGGCTGAACTCAGCTGATTTCACACTCTTGGTTCTACTGAGCCACCTACCGCTTACCGGCACGCTATTACTTGTAATATAGTACTTACTCTATATAGATAGGCATTTCCTACCGATATGTGAAGACTAAATCCTCACCTTAAAAAGTTTAAAAGTTCTGAAGAAGGGCTGTCTAAACAACCGTCACAGCAACTCTACAGGCAGAATAAAGCACCAGTGTTCAATGTTTTAAAGCTCCTTTAAGCATTGAAACATACCTTAAAGCAGGTAAAACTGCCCTCTGTTTTCCAGTGATTTTTCCATGCTTTTCAGTTTGCAGGACTAGAGGGAGTGATTACTGGAGTATTGGATGAATTCCCGCATGTCTGGAGCAAACGCAGGGAATTGTTTGTCCTTGGTCTGACCATCATTTGCTTTTTGGGGTCATTAGCAACCCTGACATTTGTAAGTATTTTACCCATTTCTTAGCTTTCCTTACTGGCAGTTTCCTGCAAATGACATTTTGGAGAGGGTAGTATTTTTTGAAGAGAGTTTCAAGAAATTAGATTAAATCTTCAGCCTGTTTTCTTTATGCATTAGAAATCTATATTTGGAATGAATGTGAACAGTATCTCTCACTAGGAAATGTGTTGCAAAATGATCCTATTGCAATAGAGCAAAACTCTAATGTGCTACACATCAGAAATGAAGCAGCCGTTGCTCCAACTGCTGAATCAGTAAGCAACCTTCCACATTTTGTACATGGTTTACTTGTTCTCAAAAGCTCCTAATTTTCCCAATGTTTGAAATACTTTGAATTAAAAAAAGAATGATCAAAAAATTCTCTGCTAGAAAATGCAGTAATTGACTGTTGCTGTCCTCCAAGAATTTCTAGCAATGAATTTCCTGGATCTTCCTCATCAAATCAGGCCAGAAATCATGATCAGTCACACAAAATAGTCCCTGTGGGGCTTGTGGGATTTCATTTTCACAAGCAACATTTTGAATAACAAGTGTCATGATCATAAGGGTCAAGGAAAAAATACTTGGCTTTCCTGTCACGTTTCACTCCACCTGCTCACTTATGTGCAACTTCCTTCTCATTTAAAGCATTTGCTGTAAAAGGAGACTTAGTTCCTCTCCAAGACACAATGCTCTCCTCCTTCCTCTGATCCCAAATAGAAAGAAAGCAAAGTAACTGCCTATTTGTTTCCTGCTCAGTAACTACGACTCAGGTTGGAGAAAGATGATGCATCTTCTGATGCCACAGAAGGCATGCAAAAAGCATGCATCAAGCCCCACCAAATCTCATCTGTCATTAAAATCCAGCTAGAACTGCCAGCAGATGCAGTTTTAGCTTTTCTGCGTGGCACCAGAGAGCAGACCAGCAGCGCGCTCATGGACTTCACTGGCAGGAACTGCCACAAAGTGACAGAACTGACTGAATTACCATCTGTGAATGCTCTGGTCCAGATGAAGGCAATAATAAACAACAGTATTACAGGATTTCTGTCACTGGATCTTTGGTTCACTGATAATGTGATCTCCTTTCTAGGGAGGCGCATATGTGGTAAAGCTGTTTGAAGAATATGCCACTGGTCCAGCTGTCTTAACAGTTGTGTTTCTGGAAGCAGTTGCTGTGGCCTGGTTCTACGGTACGTTTACTGCCACATGACAAACAATGATAACCCAAACTCTTGAGTTTCTGCAGCATAGCACTTCCTCTGTTTTTGCAGACAAGATCACTGATGTCTCAGGAAACAAGTTTACCAAGCCTTTTTACAAATTCACCAATTACCAGATCTGTGAGAATTATTCATTGTTCTCTGACAGAAGTACAGTGACATCTAAAAGTAATGAGCTATAATTCAGAATAATTAAGGATTTAATATAATTAAGAGTTATACGAACAGTCTTTCACAATGGATGCTGAATTTATTTGCTCTGTATACAAAATGCCGTGCATCTACTTAGGAAAAACTTGTATCTGCTGTCACCACTCTCCTCCCACTTGTCTCCACAGGCATCACCCAGTTTTGCAACGATGTGAAAGAAATGCTAGGCTTTACCCCAGGCTGGTACTGGCGAGTTTGCTGGGTAGCAATTAGTCCCATCTTCCTTCTGGTGAGTTTTCTTTATAGCTTTTTCTTTCCAGCACAAGAAAATTACCGTTGAACAATGCAGCTACTTAGACTTCTAAAAGCTTAATTACAGAATTTTCTTGTGAATTTCTTTAGTAACAATTCTTGTTAAACCAAAAAGGCTCAATTAGTGAAAAATCCAATACAATGCTGCAAGGTCTTGTTACTAAATCACTATTTTAAGGATTTTTGTAGATGAGCTAGATAAATAAGACTGGGTTCTGAATAACTCCCCTCCTTCCCTCTGCTGAACAAAGTTACTTTGTTTGGTTGCTTTATATTTACCTCAGCAAAATGAAGCAATAAGAGATGATGATGAAACATACTGTCTGGGAAGGGAAACAAAGATAAGTAAATATACTGTCTCAGCAACTGCTGACTGACAACTTTAGAATATTCCACTTAAAATTTACAGCAGTTAATTACAACTTTCATAAATCTATAATTCAGAATTAGAAATACCGTCCCAATATTTGACTTGGCAGTATTATTGATAACATTTTAACATAAAGTATTCATTTCCTGATCCAAAATTAGTTCACGCTGCCTTTTATTGTTACTAGCCTTAGTGGGAGCAGAGCAGGTCAAGATGGAGTTTATGAAGCACAGAATGTAAATTTAAGACCTACAGAGTGAATTCAAAACACTTGTAACGATCAATGCACAATTAACAGATTTCATTGTATTACCCCTAGAAAAAGAAAGGGAAAAAAAAAGCTGTAAGTAAGTGTAACACCACAAATAATTTTTATACTACTGTCCTCTTTGTGATCCTAAAACAGTAAAATAAACAGAGAGGTGATGTGGTTACTAGGCAGAGCTATTTGTATTCTCTATGGAAACTAAACTAAACTAAGGAAAGCCCAGAAGGTAGTATGTTTTTCCCATATGGAAATTTTGCTGGTAATCCTGATCTTCTGATGATACTCTGGAAAAAACAAAGTCAGAGATCCTTCCAAGGATAGTCGCAAATATTATTCCTGTAATATTCAACTAAAGGATTTGTTTCACAAGAAATTTTTCACTCATGAAGCATATGCACAGGAAAATGATCTAATAGCATTAATTGAGCTGATGCCAGAATACTATGTCCAAACTAGTATTAACATTTGTAAAAGCTACTGAAGAACCGAAATGCTATGGAAAAATATCACAGAAAAGATAAAACTTGTAGAAAACAAGTAACAGTGAAAAAAATGCAATCTGTATAGCTTATCACAGAGAAAACTGAAAGCTGATATGATTACCACAGGTAAGTACTTTAACAGTATTTGAAAGAGTATTAAAAGGCTCTACAACCCAATAAAGAACAGCATAAAAAAACAACACAGTGGCTGCGAGTTAAATTCAGACAAAGCAGAAGTGACACTGATCATGATTAAATATGGGACAAGTAACTAAGGGAAACTATACTTCTCATTTCTGGTGGCTTAAAATTGAGATGACACCTTTCTGGAAGGGATGCTTTAGCTGGAATCAAGTTATAGGGCTCAATACAAGGGTAACTGGATGAAATTCTGCAGACTGGAATCAGTCTGGTTTTGTCCATCTAACGTCTTTTTATCCTTTAAATGTACAAGTGTAGTCCTGAATTTTCTCTCTAATGCTTCTTAAGCAAGAAACACCACCAATCCATATGAGAATTTTTACCTAGTTCCTTTCCTCTAAAGCTCCCAAGCTGTTTTAAACTTCCTGAAGGGAAGTCTGGACATCCAAAAGTGGTTTTGGGGTTTTTTTGTTTTTAAAATCCATACTAATGATGTCATTTAGGATTTTTTCACTGTCAACAAGTTTAATCCTTCTTGAGTCCTACTCATTTTTTTTAGTTCAATGCCATGCTGGGACACAGAGTTCCCTAAAGTGCGTGCCATCAAAATACATGTATTCATACTTTCCTCTTTTCTTTTTCAGTTTGTCACTTGCAGCTTTCTGTCCAATCCTCCTGAGCTACGGCTTTTTGATTATAATTATCCCCACTGGACCGCAGTAGTGGGTTATTGCATAGGAACCTCTTCTATCATCTGTATTCCAATCTACATGGTTTATCGGTTGATCATCACTCCAGGAACACTTAAGGAGGTATCCACGATGCTCTGTTGCTTCTATTTGACTGTTAGGAAGAAGTTGATTCCTAGAAAAACTACGTGTAGATTTTTCTAGGGTCTGATGCCCTGGGACTTGAGGATTATTGCTGTTCTGCTCCTACCCAGCTGATTGATAGCTAATTGTCTTCTGCCCATTCTGAATGATTCACAAATCTCCCCAGGTCTTATTGAGGCCACTGACATATTCATATAAAATATTAAATCAAATATTTTTTTTTAAGCTCTGGTGAACTGGAGGCTTTTCCTAGAAATCACAAGACACAGTATCATGTGAATGAAGCGGTGAAAGATTGGTTCCCTTGGGTATATCTGTAAGAATAAGTTTCTTTTTCTCTCCCACACTGAATAAGATTTCGCTGTCATAAATCTGTGGCAGCCTTTGATGACATTTTTGGGATTTCTTGTAAGTTCATGTAAATAGCAGTTCAGAAAGAATATTTTCAATTGGCTCAGGGTATCCAAGTAAACTGCGAAGTCCTAAAGCATTAATACGACATCTGTCAAACTTTGATGCAAATTTTGTGTTACAAATAATTAAAAAAAAAATGTGTACTTCTATAGCACCTTACGTCTTCATAGAGCTAACAGAAGCCTGAAACATCCTTGTGTCGTTCAATATGACTCAAACCAGAGTAATATTTTTATTATAAATCTCTTTCCAAATGGCTGTCATGTTATATATTATCTCTAAAATGAATCAATTTCTAATATTGGTTTCTTTCCAACAGCGTATTCTGAAAAGCATTACTCCAGAAACAGCTACAGAAATTCCTTTTGGAGACATCCGCATGAATGCAGTATAAGCTAACCTGTTTTCTGGGGAGAGAGAGGAGGAGCATAATATGTAACTTTCCCCATACTCTCCCCCTCAACGAATTACATTTCCAGCTGAGACAACAAATGGAGGAGTTTTCTGTGGAGGTTGCGTCGCTGACAGTGGGCACTTGGAAACATGATGCCTCCAGCACATTTATCCAAGCAATTCAATGAAATCTACTGTGCACTTCTAACCAGACTGCACTGACTGAGAACTAATTCATTCTGGAAACACGAGGGAGGATGTGTGCATGAGAATACCACTACTCCATACGTGGGCACTGGGGCTGTTTGAAAGCGTGCGTGATTGCATAAGCCACTATAGGAGGAGTATCAGCGGGTAGGATTAGGTGTAGAATCCCAAGTCTGTGGCAGTACTCCTGTGTTTTCCTCAATGTGATCGTTCGTACTGGGCAATGTTGTATTCGCTTCTAAGGTTCTAATTGCTTAAACTACATTGAAAAATACAGAAATATTTCTGATAGCCATACATTGCTCAAGTAACACAGGGTTTTATAAACTAGAAAAAAAAAAATCAGTAAATTCTTCAATCCCTAGGTTTGTAGTGGAGTAGACAGAGGAGGAGGAAACAATCCTGAGCAGCATTATATACAGCTCTGCATACCTTAGCACACACATCTGGTACCATTATCTTCCTTTTCATTCCCTGCATTTTGTAGATGGTTACAGTTTCCATTAATTGTTTCTTGCATAACAAATACTACAAAAGCATTTTTTGTAATACTGTAGGCTTCACTTTCCTTTAGACCCAATTAAGCCACAAAAACTCATCATGGGTTGCTTGACAAGTACCTAAGTTGCACTTACTATACTGTTTTCATAACTAAGGTAATATTCACAAAATCATTGTCCTGACAGACCTAACACACGCAAAGAAACTACAGACCAACAGTGAATTTTTTTGAGTTCTGTTGCCAAAAAATGGAATCTTAAAGATCTGCTTCTCTGCTTTGCTTCTTTTTTTTTTTTTTTTTTAAATCTAATTTCACACCTAGTATTTGCTGGAGCCTGTGGCTTTTTCTGTTCTTTCCTAGTACAGAACTAAAGTTTAGAACAATCCTTTTGGCTAGCTAACAAAAGCACGTTTAACAAACTATACAAACATATTTTGAAGATCTATTAGCTCATATTGTAATGTGAACGCATTTGGTTTTCACCCTGAAGAAGGAGGGGAATTTTTTTTAACAAGAAGTTGAGTCGAGTTCAGC